CAAACATTATATTGTAATATGTATAGAAAAGTAATACAATTTAAGCTTTCTTTAAAAATTATATTATATATTATAGTTGGAATGAAATAAAAATCTGGGTAAAATGTGGCATGTAGGAAGTCTTCTTCTTTTAGAGAAAAATATATAGGTATCAAAATAAATGTTCACAATTTGTTATCAATTATTTAAATATCTTAAACTTTAATATGCGCAACACTCGCATAGTCAAAGTAAAAAAAAAAAAATGATCACTTTCATCAATCGAGTTCTGTATAAAATATTCATCAAACGAATTTATGTCGCATAAGCTCCGAGAAAAAGTAATAGACATATTATAATAGTATTACTATCAAACTTTCTACAATTTAAACCCTCTTAAAAGAGGAAACCTCCAAATAACGGAAAACATTCTAGCGACAGACAGTATATCTACTTAGAGGTATCACTGTATTTATAATGTATTCTGGTGACAAGTGGTTTGAAATCAAATATTATACAATGTAATGGGATTACGCAATATCATATATTTGCTCATAATAACAACCAGGAATGGGATTACGCAATATCATATATTTGCTCATAAAAACAACCAGGAATGCGACCACACCCAAAAGTGTTTTCGACTACGATAATACCACTTTCATAGTCGTGAGGTCCATATCAAGGACGACTGTACACGCGCCGCTCACTTTCAAAGGACGCCGCCACCATATATATAGGGGACAGCGAGACAGCCTGAGTAGATGTATCCAGAGACGAGAACACCACACGACTCGCTTAGCCGCCCAGCCATCACACACAACTTACACGGAGATTATCAACTTCGGAACGAGCTACAATTCGCTACAATCAACACTATTATTCTGCTTGTTTTGTCTGGTTTAATATAATACATTTGATTACCATACTAATTGACTATTATTATTTATCAAAGTACACCAGCTTTTTAAACAAAACAAAGAATAAAATAAAAAAAATAATAATAAAATATAATACGTGCATAAAGAAATAATACGTAAAATAATATTCTATAATTTAAATAAAATAATATTACGTGCATAAAAATATAATAATATATACATATACGTAAATAATATTCTAAATAATACTTATATAACAATAACTTTTAACTATTTCAGAAATTAAGAAGAAAACAAAAAAAAAATATATATAAAAACACACGTAAAAATTTAAAGTACAAAATGGGTGAGAACATACCACCTGTAGCACGAACCGTTCGAATGCAACTACAAACATTTGAATTTCTCAGAGAATTAAAAAACGAATTAATTGAATCAACCAATCATACACAAATAATGCGAGGGGAAGTAGTCAGATTACATTGCTTCCCGGAACATATAAGAAGGGCAAATAATAATATGACCATACCTTTCAGGCCGAATGTCTTAGCAAGGGTCATGATCCATGTTAATGACTTTGTACGCACAGTTATCGTAAGACCAAATCATAATCGACCCATGTGTGTAGAGTTGGGTTTACTAATAGAACAATTGATCAGGAGGCGTGTTATCGTCGAAACGATTCTCGAAGAATAACCTCAGGAAACATATATCATATACATAGCAATAAATAATAAGAAACCAATTAATTTAAAAAAAATAATTATTTAATTTTAGCTCACAGGTACGCTTTTTTATAATGGATTTCGAGTTCTTTACCGTCAGTAAGAACGAAACATTACTGGTATCCGGCGCGATATCGAATAGTTTAGAAAAGTACCAACCCAAGAAATTGGAGGGGAGTCCTCTTATACTTACAAAGGATGATAAGTTAAGAAGATTCCGCCGATGCGACCTAAAGAAAATAGTGCAGAATATCAAACGAGTATTCCGAGGGAAAAAGGCAAGAGTGATTGAACCATTGCTGGAACAGTTATACAAGAGTGTAAATCGCCAGGGGGAATCAACCTTGTCTACGGTATACTTGCAAAGATATTTGCACATAAACGATAGGGAGCCGCTAATAGTATTTTGGAACGGAACGTCAGATATCACGATAATTAAGCGTTTAAGATTAACAGGAATTTTAGCATATTTAAACATATCGGCAATTAGCGTTAGGAATAATGACGAATTTATATTAGAATTATCAAACCTAGAGACTAAGGAAGTTTTATATTCAGGTTATTTAGGTAAATTAAATAAAATGGTAGAATGTTAGGACTATCAGAAGCTCATGAACTAGCATGCGATATTAATCATAATATTACACATTGTCATGATCCAGTTGCAGACGTAATTTTAACGAAATGCCTATTCAATTACATAGTAACAAAAATAAAGCCCATTAAATTATATAAATTAGCAAAAAAATATAAAAGGAATTTTAAGGCAAAATAAATAATAATTATTAGTTAATAAATAAATATCACACAAAATAAATTAAATAATGAAAACAAATACATAAATTAACATTTATTATATATTTTAGATGCATTGAGGAGCTAAAAACAATTTTAAAAACAGAAGTACATATTTATAACGTTAAAGAAAATAAGTTACAATCCGTATGCTTTAATTGGCATATATTAAAGGCAAACAAGAAAATAAACAACCACTACGATCATAGAACTTTAAATAAAATAACTAGAAGCCTTGAACTTTTCATAGATGATCATTGTAATGGAGAATGCAAACAATTAGTAAAAATAATAGAAAACACTAGAGATCCAACTTACATGATGAATTACCTTGAATAGAACCATAGTTGCATATGTCTATGACAAATCTAACAATTATTCACATAGATTAGTATATAGGTAGAAGATAAATATTATTATTATATAAAAGGGGAAATACTTAAATTGTAAACTTACGTAACGCTTATAATGTTATAATTTCAGGTACCTATATTATTTTATTAAAGATTATTAATCATTTTTATTAACACTATTTGTTTAATTAAATCATGTATTAATTTATTTTACTAACCACAATTAAAATTGTAATATGAATAAAAGAAAAAACAATAATAATAATAATGATGACATTAAAAATTGTAAAATGCTCACATTATTGTAATCAAATGTAATACTATAATCAAATTGTTAACTGTATACAAAATTTAAAATGTCAATGTAAACAATGTAATTCAGCCATTGTAAACTATTAATTAACGATGTTAAAGATTCTTAACCCTTAAAGGTTAACAATCTTTTTTTTGGTAGGGAGGTGTAATGGGATTACGCAATATCATATATTTGCTCATAAAAACAACCAGGAATGCGACCACACCCAAAAGTGTTTTCGACTACGATAATACCACTTTCATAGTCGTGAGGTCCATATCAAGGACGACTGTACACGCGCCGCTCACTTTCAAAGGACGCCGCCACCATATATATAGGGGACAGCGAGACAGCCTGAGTAGATGTATCCGGAGACGAGAACACCACACGACTCGCTTAGCCGCCCAGCCATCACACACAACTTACACGGAGATTATCAACTTCGGAACGAGCTACAATTCGCTACAATCAACACTATTATTCTGCTTGTTTTGTCTGGTTTAATATAATACATTTGATTACCATACTAATTGACTATTATTATTTATCAAAGTACACCAGCTTTTGGATCCCTGAAGGGCAGCCTGTAACAACAAATAGTGTATAAATATTAAATCATAAACGCATAATAATATTATGTTCAAAATGTACATACAAAGTAAACGACAAAAATGGACGGTTTTATCAATAAAGTATTCATTTAAAATTTAAATAATTATTATAAGAGACATATTATTATCATCATTGACAAAACACACAAATAATTATTATTGTTATATTCTGACGACACTTAATCGATACGTTTTACATGTTTGAGTCTTTAAGATTTCCGAACAATTATAAGCATAATTCTATACAGTGGATTATCCAGAGAGGGGGAGGGTGTAGGGGTTTGTAACCCCTTCGAAAATTGTTAAATGATAACATCGCTATCATTAATAAATTATTTTCAGATAAAGTTCGTCAAAAATTAATTATAGCCCCTACTAAAAATAAATTCTGGATTCACCACTGGTCCTATAAACTTATTGATAGTGCATTCCACTCCTCCTTGCCATCAATGCTAGGGAATTATATAACTGAGAAAGAACATAAAGTAGTAAATCGTGGAGGAAATACTTCACTTTTTTTCCATTTTCTTTATCGAACATAAACATATATATATAATATAAATAGGTAATATGGTTGTTACCATAGACCCACAAGTTTGGTAACCACAAATCGGTTGTTATGTTACCAATGCAATAAAAAGAATCGGCAGATTTTATTGTGACCCAATTTTTTATTTGGCAGTTGTAGTCACGCTGTAATTTACTACTTTGTTTCTTTTCTCGCTCACTCTATATATCGTACCCCTGACTTCTCTCTCTCTCTAAGCTCCGTCCATTAGTTTATAGGTCTACTCGTTTATAACAAAGTGTTGACAATGGCAGTTTGATAAGGTATCCGGTGAATTGGTCGCGAACAATTGATCGCCGGTGAATTGGTCGCCGGTGAACTGATCGCGGGTGAATTTATCGTGGATATAATTGGTCGCTAGGATAATTGATCGCCAAACGAACAATTTTAGTTTTTTAATTATTTTATTATAATATTAAGTATATTTCTGAGTTTTATGTTTTTAAAGTTTCTCACAGTTAATTAAATTTAAAATTATAATAAATAAATAAATAATAATAATAATACAAATAAAATAATAATAATAATAATAATAATAATATTAATAATTATACATTTTAATTTATTTAAAGTTAATTTTATTTAAAGTTGGAGTTGAAAATTATGTGCTATTCCTTTTAAAAAGTCTAATTTAAGTCTAATTTAAGTCTGAGTTTTATGCTTTTAAAGTTTCTCACAGTTAATTAAATTTAAAATTATAATAAATAAATAATAATAATAATACAAATAAAATAATAATAATAATAATAATAATAATAATTATACATTTTAATTTATTTAAAGTTAATTTTATTTAAAGTTGGAGTTGAAAATTATGTGCTATTCCTTTTAAAAAGTCTAATTTACTCCTAGTATGATAGTCGTCACATATTTTTATAATTTTTTCTGCATGGTCTTTGTACTTCCGTTTAACACCTATCGTCATTCCTGCAATTAGTTGTTCTGTCTGTAACTTGATAAGGCTCTCCTCCTTTTTGAACGAATCTATACATTTCCATATAGTTGGATGACATGCGTTCAGACTAGATGCAAATCCATTATGCCACCCTTCAACAGAATTGTTGGTCCGGGGGATATTTTCGAAAATATATTTAAAACAGTTCCACAGCGTCACTGGAAATAATGCTGGTTTCCTTCGATTTCTTCGATCAAGACGTCCAATCCACGTATTTAAAGGTGTTAATATTTCTTCGTTCAGTGAATAAAATTCTGAGTCCAGTAGTTCATTCCAAGCATTTTCTACATCCTCTTCTGGTACAAAACTAAGTGCTGCCATCATCCTAATTTGCAAAGCAAATTCCGAGTCTTCCATGTACCTTTTTTGGAATCCTAAATTTTGCAAGCGTCTCCAAATGCTTTGCGATAGATGAAAAAAGCACCCACGAACTGATGTGTTGGTAAAAACACTTTGAATCGCATTAATCGCAGCTTTTTCAAAATCAACCATAATTGATTTTGGATTTAATGATTCGTTCAATGTTTTTAATGCGTTGTAGAAATTAACATATGTGGTTTCCGTTTTATTTGGTAGCAATGCAAATATTGATGGAAAAACATTATTAAATTGAATTCCGTGAACAGTGTAAATTTGGTAAAATAAATTTGGTGACGTAGAAAAAGTGCCATCAGCAAACCAGTGTTCACATTTTTGTAGAAGTTGTAGGTTTTTTTGGGTGGAGAAAATTAAAATTCTATTTTCTACAGGACCACTGTCGAACAATAAAAAAGGTTTTCCGTCAAATGTTGTTCTATAATCGTCTGGTATGATCAATTCTAATAAAGTTTTTGGGTTTGGTGGAGCAGCTTGTTCTTTTTGTCGAATACGCCGTACTGTTCTCTTTAAGACAGACAATGATGGCATTTGCCCTGCAGCAGCACTTGTCAACTATCCAATTTAAAAAAAAAACATACATTTTTAATTTAATTATATAGATATATTTTATAGTATTTTTTAGGTATTTATATTTTAGGTATTTTATAGTATTTTATATTATAGTTATAGGTACACATTTAATATTTATTATTATCGCTATACAAAAATACACACTTTATACAGGTCGGTCGGTGTAGCGTACGAAGCAGTTAGGTGACCGGGCGCACGTATTTTCCTTTTTTAGTTCATTTTCCGGTATTTTTAATAAATTAAGTTCCGATAATTCACATATATTAACTTTGTTTCAATCAACATTTTAATTTTTTTTTTATTAAATAAACACATTTTTATGCATGTGAAAACTAATGTACTAATGTATAATATCCTATACTATCTGCAATATAAATATAAAAATTAAATTAAAAACCATTTTAAGTGCATTTTATATTGCATTTTTTGCATTTTAAATTTGAACTTTAAATACTTATAAAAAAAATCGTATGTTAAAATATACAATAGATACTGAGAAGGATTTATTTAATATTAACTTACAGATGTCGAAGCTGAGCTAATTACAGCGCGAGTACTCAAATCCACATTTTGCGTAGCCATATTTTTGATCAAATTAACGGCTTTGGCAGCTTCAATATTTCCACAATCTTGTACATGATTGTGTTGTATTTCTTTAAGTATTTCATTATTAAGAGAATGAATGCGACCTTTACATTTCATTTTTTTATATTGATCACATTTCCATATTGACTTTTCTTCGGTTCCAAATTTTTCAAAAGTATACATATAACCCTTATAAATTAATTTATCTTTGCCTTTTTCACTCTTTATGAACTCCATTATTATAAAATAAAAAAACAGTAAACACACACAATAACGTACTAGCATGGACTAACAAATGCATGTATGTAATGACAAATTGGTACGACCATCGGAATATAGATGACGATAAATCGATAACGGTCGTATATGCTTATCTATGTTATTGCCACGCTAGTTCAATTATCTCGTGTGTACATCATATAATAGTATTTAAGATTATTATATCTGTTAATCCCATTGTAAATTGGATTTACTGTACGTTATTTAAAAATAAATAAGAGTATTTGAATCTTCTAAAATAATAAACATAAAACTAGGATGTGTATATAATATATATTAAATATTAACTATGTAATGAGTATAATAAAATAATTAAAAAACTAAAATTGTTCGTTTGACGATCAATTATCCTAGCGACCAATTATATTCACGATAAATTCACCCGCGATCAATTCACCGGCGACCAATTCACCGGCGATCAATTGTTCGCGACCAATTCACCGCTATCCGTTTGATAATTATTATTGTTATTATTTCGCGCTTAGTGCTACGACCTATATACGTATCATATGGAGTCGTGTGGACATTTCGGCTCGTCAAACACTTGTACTTTCGTCGAGAACGATTTCAACAGAGAGACGAGTTCTTATTTGTCGTTCGGTACGATTTATTATATTATATTCGAGCGAACTCGACGAGAGTATAGGAACGGAAATATTATCGCAAAGCAAAACCGAACTTTTGAAGAGATTTTTTTCCTTCTCGTCGTTTTCGAAGTATATTATCTCTTTTTATAGTGTCGGCTCTTAAGACTTTCGATGTTTGCTCTTGTGCGGCTCTTACTTGGTATCCGACGATAATATGTCCTCGTGCGAAAAATGCCGTACAAAGAAGTCGAGTGGTCGTTTCCCCAGAGAACTCAAATTTTGATTTTATTTTTCGTTGTGTCATATTTTCAATTTATTCGGTTACGAAAAAGTTAAACAATTTAAAGCAATACAGGCGGGACTTTATTCGGGATTTATTTAAATGCAAATTAATCCATCAGAAATGTTGTACATCTTGACATGATTTAATGCGTTTTCGTTTATTCGGAATAACTAAGTTTTTTCTCGTGAAAAAAAAAAATAAAAAAACCTCAATTCAAATTTCTTGCAAATTATTCGACGGGAAAAAGTAAAAGCATTTCTTATTCAAATATTATTCCGAGCAAATAATGCAGTTGCATTCACGGCATTGTACTAAATGCGAATATACATTCACATATTTCTTTTTATTATTATTATTATTATTAATAGTATAACTTATTTATTAAAAGCAAATAATGTTTTTATATTACGCATTCCCCCCCCCACTGATGTAACACTACTTAATCTAATTTCAAATCGTATAAAACATAAAACTAATGGAAATAAAAAAAAATGGTTTAAAATCGTAATGCCTTTTTACATCGAATTTATTATTATTATATATCATACTTCACATACTCACACGCTCAGGTACTTATAATTATAATTATTATTGATGTACATTGGTAATAATTGCATTACCTACTGCTAACTTAAAATCGTATAATATCCACTGTTAACATAAATACAGTGCAGTCGACTTGAATATTACTGTACCAGACTAATTGTGCTAATAATATTATATAATAATTATTAGTATCCTTGGTTATTCTGCAAATATTGTCCTAAATAATATACTCTTAACCAAATAATATAAACTTTATCGATTTGTGTTTTCGTGAGGTTTTCAAAGTAGGTATTTATAATTAATTAAATATTATATGTTTAGAGATGTTATATAAATGTTATATTATGTCGAGAGATGTATTATATTGTTTTGTTTAATACTCTATTGAACCTTGAATTATCGTAAACTGAATACAGGTTATAAAACTATAACGACCAATGGCTTAATCGTTTCAGAAAAACATTTAATAACCACAATAATATAAATTTAGAATTAATTAATTTTTATTGGTAGTCATCTTCCCGATTCCGATATATACCTGGGGAGTAGTGACTAGAAATACATTTAATTTAAAATAATGTACCTACGATATGTGTGGTAAATTATATTCTTAAATGTCAAATTAATTTTCTCATAATATGAACTATGATAAAATGTTTTGTTTCTTTTTTAAATCAAATAATTAGGTATATCATTATCTAGTCCTTACAACTTAACCTTCACTTCGTACAGTCATTTTGTTATGTTTTAATATTTACGATATCATCAGCTGTCGGGTATAATAATAATAATAATTTATTTAAAATGGGCGTGAGCCCAATAGTACAGGAAAGTTTTAACACAATAACTAGATACAATATAAATAAAATCATCGAACAATGAGCATATTAAATTAAAATTAATTTGATCTCAATATTATATGCATATTATCATTATTTATATTCATGTGTTTAGTAATTGATTTAAAGACGAAAAGAAAAAAATCAGTAGATTGCGGAAGGTTGTCGCACAGGACCCAAGGAATTTTCACGGGAGTTTTTCAAATATGTAATTTGTGCCGAATGTGGGCGAATGAAATAAGGAGAAGGAGCAGCTGTTATCATGAGGAGAATAGTGTAATTATAGAGTATCGTCTAAACACCCTTTCTCTGAGATTTGTTTAATATTTGTAAAACATCGAATCGAAAATATAAATAAAATATAATCGAGTGCTCACTAGTAGCATCGAACGAACCCTTCGAGTAGTTTAAGAGAATAATTTTTCAGAGGGGGCAAAATGCAAAAATCTCTCACTGTTACAATATCAGGAAATTTGAATGCAATAGGTACTTTATTCGTTGTTAGACACGGTTCTAACTTGTATACAGTAATAATCCTAAAAAATAATATAATAATATAAAATAATAAATAGTCAATAGTAAAGTAGATCAATTAGTAAAAAAAAATAATTATATTATTAAGTCAATATTTCTTTTTTTTGATGAACACTGAAGACTGAACATTATTTACTATTATTATTAACTATTATCACAGAATATTGACAATTGATATTGATTACAACTATTTTTCTTTATTATCTATGATTGTAAACTAATCTAAGACTGTGATTGTAACACAGAACATGGTACCTATGTTAGAAACGGTTACTATTGTAGTTTCAAAACTGGGTACCGTATATTTGGTGGGAACGCATGATAGGCGAGTAAGCCTACTGCCTAGTCAATAGTCATAATACGCAATACGCATAATAATGAAATTTGACTTTTAATAATAGCTCAGTGCTAACGTATTTTGCAAAAAAAAGTCTCGGGGGGGGGGGGGAAATGCCCCTGTTGCCCCCCTCAAATACGCCACTGCCTTCGAGACGTGTCATAGCGACGTTGTTGTCGTTTGCGGAAACGCTCGAAACAAAACACACTATTATTATTATTATTATTTTTATTACGTGCGACGTGCCCACTACCCACTACTCAGAATAGAACCATGATAATAATAATAATAATGTATTCAACATCAAAGGTTTTGCGAGTCGGCCGGACGCGCGCAAAGAGACTATAAGCGCATTCGGTTTGCAGGCGCCACATGGCGTGTTTAACACTTTAACGTTTTGTAGTCGCCGCAGACAACGGGACGGCCGAACAAAGAACACAATGTCCCTCGTACATTATCGAGTCGTTTTGTATCGAAACAACACACACGGACGTTTAAACTCGGCTTGTCAACTCCGTCGTGCGTAATATACAGTGTACATAACGTCTGGTTAGAGCCGGGGCCGTGTCTTCTGTACCCATCGATTCGGCGGAAACGCCGTACAAATAATAATATGACTCTGCTGGTGACGATAAGAATTTTCGGCCCACCGAATATGTATAGTTTTCCTCCTCGAATTTCCTGAGGTCACTTTCCCGAAATCGAGCATTAGTGGTGCAGCTGAGGAGGGCTTAGCACCCCCCCCCCCCCCCACAACCCGACCAAGTTTTAACCGCTCCACAACCTTTTCGAATTTTATGTAATAGCTTGCATGTACCATTTGACCTCAACCAAATGTACCAGTTGCCCCAAACAGAATGTACCAATTGCCCTCATATGTAAATATATATTACGATTACAATAGGGGAGGTAAATATACAAATAGTAATTATTATAACAAAACATAGTACATCGAAAGCATATATCGA